TTCCCACCAATAGTGCACAAGGGTTCCCTTTTCTCCACATCCTCACCAACATTTATTTCTTGTCTTGAGAACAGCCATTCTAACAGGTGTGAGGTGCTATCTCATTGTGTTTTCAATTTGCATTTCCCTGATGATTAGTGATATGGAGCACCTTTCATGTACCTGTGTCTTTTTTGGAAAAAATGTCTACTCAGATCCTCTGCCCGTTTTTTTAATTGGATTGGTTTTTGCTATTGAGTCATATAAGTTATTTATATATTTTGGATATTAACCCCTTATCAGTTACAGGATTTGCAAAAATTTTCTCCTATTTGGTGGGTTGTCTTTTCATTTTGTTGATGCACAGAAGCTTTTAAGTTTGATGTAGTCCCAGTTGTTTATTTTTGCTTCTGTTGCCTTTGCGTTTGGTGTCAATTCCAAAAAATCATTGCCAAGACTGATGTCAAGGAGCTTATCATCTATGTTGTCTTCTAAGGGTTTTCTGGTTTCAGGTTTTACATTCAAGTCTTTAATCTATTTTGAGTTGATTTTTGTGTATAGTGTAAGATAGTGGTCCAGTGTCATTCTTTTGCATGTGGCTGTCCAGTTTTCCCACGAAGAGACTGTTCTTTCCCCATTGTGTATTCTTGGCTTCTTTGTAGATAAATTGACCAGATATGCATGGGTTTATTTCCGGGCTCTCTATTCTGTTCCACTGATCTATGTGTCTTTTTATGTCAATATAATATTGTTTTATAATAGCTTTGTAATATAGTTTGAAATCAGGGAGTGTAATGCCTCCAGCTTTGTTCTTCTTTCTCAAGACTCCTTTGGCTATTCAGGGTCTTTTGTGATTCCATACAAATCTTATGTTATTTTATTTTTTATTATTTTTTTAAAATAAATTTATTTATTTTTGGCTGCATTGGGTCTTCGTTGCTGTGCGCGGGCTTTCTCTAGTTGTGGCGAGTGGGAGCTACTCTTCCTTGCAGTGCGTGGGCTTCTCATTGCAGTGGCTTCTCTTGTTGCAGAGCACAGGCTCTAGGAGCACGGGCTTCAGTAGTTGTGGCACGTGGGCTCAGTAGTTGTGGTGCATGGAGTTAGTTGCTCCACAGCATGTGGGATCTTCCAAGACTAGGGCTCGAACCTGTGTCCCCTGCATTGGCAGGAGGATTCTTAACCACTGCGCCACCAGGGAAGACCCCCATACAAATTTTACAATTGTTTGTTCTATTTCTGTGAAAAAGGCCATTGGAATTTTAATAGGGCTTGCACTGAACCGGTAGATTGCTTTGGGTAGTATGGACATTTTAACAATATTAATTCTTCCAATCCAAATGAGCACAGAATATCTTTCCATTTATTTATGTCTACTTCAAGTTTTTTCATTAGTGTCTTCTAATTTTCAGTGTGCAGATCTTTCACCTCCTTAGTTAAATTTATTCCTAGGTAATTCATTCATTTTGATGCAATTTTAAATGGAATTATTTTCTTAATTTCTCTTTCTCATAATTTGTTATTAGTGTATAGGAATGCAACAGATTTTTGTATATTGATTTTGTATCCTGCAACTTTACTGAATTTGTTTATTAGTTCTAACAGTTTTTTCGGTTAAGTCTTTAGTGTTTTCTATGTATAATATGATGTCATCTGCAAATAGTGACAGTTTTACTTCTTCCTTTCCCATTTTGGATATCTTTTATTTCTTTTTCTTGTCGAATTGCTCTGGCTATGACTTCCAATACTATGTTGAATAAATGTGATGACAGTGGAAATCCTTGCCTTGTTCCTGATGTTAGAGGAAAAGCTTTCAGCTTTGAGTATGATGTTAGCTATGGGCTTGTCATATATGGCCTTTATTATGTTGAGATATGGTCCCTCTGTACCCACTTTGTTGAGATTTTTTATCATAAACAAATGTTGAATTGCAACTTACTGAAATGCATCATAAAGATAAAATGGATGCATGGACAGATTGACAGATAGTGATGATGCAAATGGAGCAAGTGTTAAGTGTAGAATGTAACTGGTGGGTATATGGGTGGTCACTGAACAATTATTTCAAGTGTTCTATTCGCTTGAAAGTTTTCATCACAAAATGTTTAGGAGAAGCGTATAACATATTAGAATGTGATAACTGCTCTGGCAAAAAAATTAAGCAAGGTGTTGGGAAGGAGGATAGAGAGTGACTGGGGTGGGGGCTGCAGTATTAAATAAGCTCATTCAGGAAGGCCTCCCTGAGGAGACCTTGGAAATTAGAGAGTGAGCCACAAAGAGATTTTGGAGAAGAATGCTCCAGGGAAAGGGACCAGTAAGTACAGAAATGCTCTAGGGCACATGTGTGTCTGGGATTCCCGGAATAGTGATAGCAAGGAGGCCAGTGTAGTTGAAGCCAAGGGGGCAAGGGTGAGGTAGATAAGCCCAGAAGAGCAGCAGGAAGGCAGCTCCTGCAGGCCTCATGGCATACTGTTCAGCCTTTGACTTTTACTTTGAGTGGCGTGAAGAAATAGCATGATCCAACACCTGTGTGCACAGGAGGACTCTTGTCAGTGTAGTGAGACCAGGCTCAAGTGGGCAAGGCCAAAGCAAGGAGACCAGGGCGGAAATGATGGCAGTAGACGGACAACAGATGATGGTGGCTCTGACTTGAGTGGCAGGAGTGGAAGTGGTGAGAGGTGGTCAGATTCTGGAGATATTTTGAATGTGGAACCAAGAGGATTTGGGCCTGGAGAATGTGTGGGGCTGTGGGAAAGAAAGGAGTCAAAGATGACAGGTGTGGAGAGGGAGGGTTACAATCAGAGTCCATTTTAGGGGAAGATCATGGGTTCATTTTGGGGAGGTCAAGTTTGAGATGTCTGCTAGACTTCCAAGTAGAGACATAGAGTAGTAGGCCAGCCCTTTGGATTCAGGGAAGATAGAGAGGAGGAAGAAGTGAGCAGAGTAACCAGAGGACTGGTGGAGGGAGTGTCAGCCCTGCTGACTGGTCAGGTAAGGGAAAGATGGAGCACAGACCATCTGTTGGATTTGGGGGATGGGCCTATCCCCGAAGGCTTAGCCTGACAAAAGAAAGGTGCAACCACTTCCTCAAGGCCATGGCCGACCTAGTTCTTTCAACTGCTCTTAATGACTGATCACAATCTCCTGCAACATTGTGTATGTGAGATGTGTCCACTTTGACACACACAGTTCTGGATCAAGAGTCAGCAAACTAAAGCCCTCAGGCCAAATTTGTCTGTTTCAGCAAATAAAGTATTATTAGGACACAGCCTTGCCCATTCAGATTGTCTAGGCCTGCTTCCACACTCCAACAGAACTGAGTAGTTGCCAGAGACCATATGGCCTGCAAAGCTGAAAATATTTACTGTCTGTGCTTTGAAAGGGAAAGCCTGCTGACCCCTTCTCTCCCTCTTTCACTATAGGAATGTCCTGTTGTTCTGTTACACAAGATATTTAATAGGACATTTAGGTGGCTCCCAATTTTTTTTTGTTATTTTGAAAATGTTCCAATAAACATACTTAACTGTATTTCTTTGGGCTCATGTGCACACCCACAAGTTTAATTCCTGGTTTGGAGGATATGAGTATTTCAGTTTTGGTAGATTTTGTCAAATTGCTCCCTAATGTAGCTGAAATTATTTACACTCCCATCAGCAGTGTAAAGAGTTCTCATTTTCCCATACTACCCTAAAACTTAGTATTGTGTGTTGTTAGACTTTATTAGTTAGCAATCTTTTATTGTTTGTAGATTCCTTTGGGTTTTCTGGCTGTGAATGATAGTTTTGCTCCTTTCTTTTCCTTGTCTTGGTACTCTGGATGGGCCCTCCATGCAATATTTGCATTTTGTTCAATAATACAATTAGGGGCTTCCCTCATGGCGCAGTGGGTGAGAGTCCGCCTGCCGATGCAGGGGACACGGGTTCGTGCCCCGGTCCGGGAAGATCCCACATGCTGCGGAGCAGCTGGGCCCGTGAGCCATGGCCGCTGAACTTGCACGTCCGGAGCCTGTGCTCTGCAATGGGAGAGGCCACAACAGTGAGAGGCCTGCGTACTGCAAAATAATAATAATAATTACTAATACAATTAAAAATTCTGTTCTTGGCTCTAAAGGGAATAATGCTTAACATTTATCATATAGTATGGTGTTCTACCATTAAGTATAATGTTTGATGCAGGTTTGGTTTTTTTTATTATTATTATTTTGGGAGAAAACTAAAAATCCATCTGGACTACTTTTTGTTTTTTTGTATATGGCTACTCAGTTTGTCTATTTCTTTTTTAATTAGTCTTGGCAAATTATCTTTTACTAGAAAATTGTCCATTTCATCTAAGTTTTTAGTGTATTGGCATAAAGTTTATAATCTTATTTTTGTCATTTCTGCTATATCTGTAGTTATATCCCTTTTGCATATTAATGTTTATTTTATTGGTCTTTTCAAAGATCCAGCTTTGTTTTGTGGTACATACTAGTGCTTTTGTTTTCTATTTAATCAATTTCTGCTCTTCATTATTATCTTCCTTCCACTTTCTTTGGGTTTACACTTACTCCATTCTAAAATTCTTTGACATTCTGCTCATAAATTCTCCATATTTCTTCTTACCTAATACCACTGATAAGGTTACAAATCTTTTAAATTCTGCTTTAGTCCCCCCACCACCCAAACTGGAGTTTTTATATGTATTCTCATTTTTAGTTTGACCTAAATAGTTTTCATTTCCATATGATTTCATTTTTGAGTAAAGAGTTTTCTAGAAGTGTTTTTAAAATTCTTTAAAAAAATGTTTTTTTAGAGTGTTTCCATTTTTTTTGTAAATGTATTTATTTATTGGCTGCGTTGGGTCTTCGTTGCTGCACTCAGGCTTTCTCTAGTTGTGGCGAACGGGGGTTACTCTTCGTTGCAGTGCATGGGCTTCTCATTGCGGTGCCTTCTCTTGCGGAGCACGGGCTCTAGGCACGCGGGCTCTAGAGCACAGGCTCAGTAGTTGTGGCACACGGGCTTAGTTGCTTCGCGGCATGCAGGATCTTCCTGGACCAGGGCTCGAACCTGTGTCCCCTGGATTGTCAGGTGGATTCTTAACCACTGCACCACCAGGGAAGTCCCTAAAAGTGTTTTTAAATATCGAAAGATTTGGAGTTTATTCAGCTCTTGCTTGTGGTCAGAGAACACGGTCTGTATGAAATTAATTATCTGATTATCTGTTGAGATCTGTCTTGGGGCCTGGCCTACTCTATGTCTCTGCTTGGAAGCTAGCAGACATCTCAAACTTGACCTCCCCAAAATTAACCCATGATCTTCCCCTAAAATGTACTCTGTAATTCTCCCTGGCCCCATCTGTTGTCTTTGACTCCTTTCTTTCCCACATTCCCCACAGGTAATTTTTTATAAATGTTTCTTGTGTGCCTGAAAGTAACATATTGGGTTCAGGGTTCTACCAGGGTCAATTGACTAGAATTATTAATGGTATTAAAATCTTCTATATCCTTTTTTTGGCTGTTTGGTCTATCAGTTACTGAAAAAGTTTTTAAATCTACCACTGTGATGAAGGACTTGGCAATTTCTCCTTGTATCGTGTCACTTTTGCTTCATACACTTCCAGCCTTTTTTTTTTAACCTCTAACATACAAGTTCAGAATTGTTCTATCTTCTTAGAAAATTGTTCTTTTCATCACTTTGTGTTGACGCTCTTTATCACTAATAATGTCTCTAGCCTTAAAGCCTATTTTGTCTGATTTTGCTATGGGTATATCTTTTGGTTAGTTTTTCTCTAGTATACACTTTTTTTCCAACTGTTTACTTTTGGTGCCCTTAAGTTTTAAATGTCCTCTTGTAAACAGCATAGACCTGCATTTTCTTTTTCTTGGCCAATCTGTTCATCTCTATTTTAATAGATGAATGTAAAATATTTTCTACCTCTGATTTTGTACCGTTTATGTACCATTCTTTTCACTTTGCTTCCTGTTTCTCCTTTTCTACCTTCAATTATATTTTAATACCCTCTACTAAACTTTTCTCTTTTGTGCATTGGCATTTATACCTTCTATTCTTTTAGTGATCTCTCTGAAGTGTTTGAACTTGACTTGACTTTACAAAGCCAGATAATTACCAATTATCTTTATTCTCCTCCTCTCAAATAAATGAAGCTTCTTAGAACACTTAAACTCTGATTACTCTCTCCAGTCCTACCTGTTATTGTGTCCTGTGCTCCTTGCTCTGTACTCCACAAACTAATCGTCACCATTCATGTTCCATAGCAGGTGCTTGTTTAGATGGACTTCCGTGTTTACCAGTTTAGTTACTTGATATTTTTCTGTCTAATTTCTTCTCTTTAGAGTTTTGCAAATTCACTACGAAGTGTCTAGATGAGATTTTATTTTTATTTATTCTGTTCCGGATTTTAAGTGAGGATCCTGGTCTCTAATCAATTGTGGAAGTTCTTCAGGAACTGCCTCTCCCACATTCTTTTTTCTCCTTCTGGAACGCTGATTGAACCTATTCTTCTCACCTTACCATTCCTGTCACTTCCTCTTTTATATGTTCCATCTGGCTTGTTTTCTGGCTAATTGCTTCCGCTCTTTCATCCAGTTCAGTGATTTTCTCTTCTGCTGTATCTAATTGGCTCTCTTGCCTCATCCTTTGAGACCTGAATTTCGATAGCTCTATTTTTCAATTCTAGAAATTCCTTCTAAAACCTTTATGCTTTTCAGTGTCTTGCTCCAAGCGTCTTCAAGTTTTAATCCCCGCCCCCACCCCGGCCACTACCTTTTTCTTTCTCTAACCATGAGCTCCACGAAGGCGAGGACGTTTGGTGTAGTGTTGTCATCCCCAGTGCCTCCTACCGTTCCTGGAACGGAACAGGCTCCGAGTGAGCGCTGTCAGATGACTTAGTGACAGTGGGAACAGAAGGATGCTGTGCCGCAGCCTGGCCCCCGCTCTCCCTGCCGCCAGAGCTGCGAGCCTGCTCCCCCAACGGCCTCGCAGGCTTTCCAGTCTCCCCTCAGCCCGGACCTCAGGGAGAGGACCCCACCCCACCCCGCCCACCTCTGCTCAGGCCGTGACGTCACGGGACTGTGACGCGCCCTGGGAGCCCCCGCCCCTTCGCGGCGCTGGGCCGAGAATCCAGGCTCTCTGCACCGTGATGTCACGGGTCCGGGCGGGCGGACTTTGCGTCGGCCCAATGGGAGCGGCGCGCCGGCCTCCCCTTTAAGGAATGTTGTGACCTGACGTCAGCCGGGCGAGTTACCTCCCCGAGCCGCCGTCGCCGGGCTCAGCGCGAGCCTCGGAGCCCTTGAGCGCGAGGCGCGGAGCCCCCGGAGCCCCCTAACCGCAGCCACATCCCCTCGTCGCGCGCCCCAGAGCCCCGGCCTGCGCGCCCCGCCGGGCCGGCGCGATGCCGTCAGACCGGCCTTTCAAGCAGCGGCGGAGCTTTGGTGAGGCCCGGCGGGCGCTCTGCGAGCGCGGGGTGCGGGCGTGGGGGCTGGGGGGTGTTGGCCGGCCGACCCGACTGCCGCAGATGACGTCAGCTCCGTGACGTCAGGCTCGGCTGGAGCTGGACCCTCGGGATGGGAAGCGGGCTGGGGCCTGGGCCGGGGCCTCCGCCTCGCATCCCGGTCCTGTGCCCGGGCCTTAGGGCCCAACGGCTCCGGAGGCGGGGGCTTCGGGGAGGCGGGGTCGGGGCCGCCCCTCGGGTACTGGCGGGACGGAACCGCGAGGAGGACCTCGGCCCGGCCTCATCCCCGACTGCTGTCTGCAGCCGATCGCTGTAAAGAGGTGCAGCAGATCCGCGAGCAGCACCCCAGCAAAATCCCGGTGAGTTCCGCCGCCCCCTCCCATCCCCGCCCGGCCCAGGCTCCGCCTCGGGCTCACGCATCCCCCGCCCCGCTCCCAGGTAATCATCGAGCGCTACAAGGGTGAGAAGCAGCTGCCCGTCCTGGACAAGACCAAGTTCCTGGTCCCGGACCATGTCAACATGAGCGAGTTGGTCAAGATCATCCGGTGCGCGGGCAGCAGCTGTCAGAGGGGGATTGGGTCCTGCTGGGGTCAGGCAGGGGGCTGGGTCCTTCTGAGAAGGAAGAGGTGGGGGTGGGGCACGGGAACGGGTGCTGGGTCCCTGTTGTGGGGAGGTTGGGAAAGGTCAAGGTCAGGGCTTGGGTCAGTGTCCGGTCAGAGGTGAGAGCCTCTAGAAGGGCTTGGGATGGGTGTGAGGTGGAGGGTTAGGATCATTTTGGGGAGCGGGTGAGGGCTACACTCGCCCAACAGCCAGGCCCCTCACGGTTGGCTTGCCTTCCCGCCCACCTCAGGCGCCGCCTGCAGCTGAACCCCACGCAGGCCTTCTTCCTGCTGGTGAACCAGCACAGCATGGTGAGCGTGTCCACGCCCATCGCCGACATCTATGAGCAGGAGAAGGACGATGACGGCTTCCTCTACATGGTCTACGCCTCCCAGGAAACCTTCGGCTTCTGAGCCAGCAGTAGGGGGGTTGGCTTGGGAGTGGGGGGCCCTGTCAGGCTCTGCCCTGGGAGCTCCTGGCACCTGAACTGAACTGCCTCTGCCCCTGCCCCTGGTGGGCTGGGCGGGGATGCCACATCCTAGCCAGGGGGCACCAACCGCACCTACCCTGCCCCTGGGTGGATCCTGGCCCAGTCATGTTAGGGTTGCCCCTCTGGGTGCTGGCTGGGATGGGGGGAGGTTGGGAGCAGCCCCTAGCACCCCTGCTCTGTGTGGTTTGTCTTTTTTTTTAGGCCCCTGCCTGTCTGCCCATCTGTCCCTCCCTGACCTGAGGTGCTGCCCATGCCTGGACCTGCCCACCCCTGAAGGACTGGCCCCTGGCTCACCCAGTCTTGACATGGTGTATGGATCTGTGGTCATTGTTCCTCTGCAGAATAAAGATTGCTCAGGCCTGCCTGGCCCTTTGCCTCCAGCTGCTTGGGGAGTGGGGAGGGCTGCCCCACACCATTCTCAGCTGACCAGTGCGCAGACCCGTGTTCTGTGGACTCAGAGCTCATTCGGGAAACCCACGCCTGTGTGTAGTGCACCATGGTGGTATTAGGGGCCAAGCCCACCCCTTGCAGGAGTGCAGTGTGGTTCCAGGGCAGACGCTTGCATAACAAAAAACATTTATTAAGTAGCCACAACCTAACAAACCCTGCTCATCTGCTTCTTCCCCTTCCCTGCTTGGGAGGGGGGCTCCTTGGTGTGCAGAGCCACAAAGTGGGGAGTGCAAGTGGAGATGCTCCTGGCTACTCCCCACAGGCCTTGCTGCCAGCCTTGGCTCCTCACCGGTACCAGATATTTGTGACCCTGGACTCAAACCTGATCTGCCCAGGACTTCCCTGCTGGAAGCTCTGGTTAGAGGGCTTGGCCCAGCTTCTGGCCCTTTCACCCCTGAAGTCCGTGCAGCCCTGTGCCCAGCCAGGCCTACTTGAGCACAAGCATGGCCTCCGTGCCGTCCTTGGTGGTCAGGTAGAGACCATGTGTGAGGTAGTACTCCCGCCGTAGGAAGGCATAGAAGTAATCGGAGATGAGCAGGATCTGGGGGGAGAGAGATGTGAGAAGCTTCATGATACCTCCCCCTGAACTTTGGATCTCTGAGGGGCTAGGTAGGTGCTGGGGAGACCCTGCCCAGGGACCCTGCACCTCAGGGCCTACACCACCCTTCAAGGGTCTCACTGGCACTGCAGAAGTTGCCCTACTGCCCTTCCTCCTCCTACCATGGTCTGTGCTTCCATCCCAAGCCCTGGCCGGTGAACTCCAGACTGGCGCGCTCCTCCGTCTCACCTCCTGGGTGCCCACTGGCCCTTCCACCCCAGCCAAGTCCCCTATCAAACCTGCTTCTCCCACTGGGAACCCATATCCCCCTTCTTCCAACCAGGTGTTCAGGCCATAGAATCAACAGACTTGTCTCCTCCCATAGACCAAGCCACCAAGCCTGTCAGTTCTATTTCTACCTGTCCCCGCAGCTACCACCCTGGACAAAGCCACTGTCATCTGAACAACAGTGGTCTCCTCTCTGGGCTTCCTGATCTCAAACCTCCCACCCTAGCAACAGAGGTTGCTTTTTAAGACAAATCTGGTCATGTTACATCCCAGCTTAAGGTCCTCTAAAGGCCTCCCATGGCTCTTAGGGTGAAGATCAAACTCTCTGGGGCTCTGAGGCCTTGCACTTGGTCCCTGCACATGTACGTGCTTCAGGCTCTGCCGTGCTCCACCTCACTCAGCTCCAGCCACACTGGCCTGTTCCCTTCCAGTGCAGGATCTTTGCTGTCTCCTCTGCCTGGAATGTTCTCTTCCCCATTCATCTAGTAAACACCTGCTTGCCCTTCAGGCCTCAGGAAGGATCACTTCCACAGAGAAGCCCTCCCTCACACCCTAGATTGGGTCTTGGTCCCATTAACTTTTATCTGGTAGCACAAACTCGTCCAAATTGCAGTTTTGCATTCATCTGTGAGACTGCCTGATAACTGTGGCTCCTCCCCTGGCCTGGGCAGGGTCCCTGAGTGATTCTGCCACCATGGTGTCTGTGCCCAGCGTGGTCTGTCTTTTCTGTCTGGGCCTCAGAAGAGAAAGGGCCCTAGCAGCTCAGCCCACCATCCCCCTCACTGAGGCCCAGAGGGGAACAGGGACTTGCCAAGGTCCCCCAAACACTGGGCCCGCAGTCTTACAATTCGATTCATCCCAAGCTCCCAGGACCTCCAGTGCCTGGAACAGGAGGGGCAGGGCCCAGCCCTACAGAAGGATGAGGGGAGAGGGGCTCACCACTACAGATACCACCAGTTCTCAGGCACTTACAAGCCTCTCAGATTATCATCACCAATCACCTTGGCACAGATGGGGCGACGTAAGCCCAAAACTGGGGGAGCACCTGGCTAGGGCCTTATAGCAAGACAGAGGTTGAGCCTGGCATCTCAGCCTCTGACCCCCAAACCCCTGTTCTGGGAAGCCTCTCTCACATTGTGGGCAGGAAAGAGAGCAAACCCACACCATGGTCTCAGGACAAGGACCTGCCATTCTGCCACCACAGGAATCCATCTGGAAGGCTGATGGTTCCCATCTTACAGATGAGGAAATTGAGGCACAAAGGGTTCAACAGTTGGCCTAAGGCTATACTGGGAGAGCTGGACTAGTGGCTATAACCCTGCAAGGCAATGTACCTGGGGCCCAGTGTGCAAAGGGCCCAGAACTCTGCCACTGAGGGTGTCAGAGCAGAGAGCCCAGGGAGCCCCTGAAGCCTTGCGCCACAGCTGCCCATGGGGCGTAGTTACCACAGCGAAGGTCACTCCCTGCAGCCCCTTTCTCACCCAGGCCCAAGGTGTCAAGTCTGAGGAGGCGGAGCCTGGAGCTGGTGGGGGTTGATCCCCGAGCCAGGTCAGATGAGGGGCAGGTGCAAAGTCACAGTTCACAACAAAACAACTCCAATGTCACACACGATCAGCTGGTCAAATAGGAAGTCAAAACACTAGGTTATTAGTTTGAACCATATGAAACTGTCAACTTTGCAGATCAAAAACAGTTGAGTATTGACAATTTCATATGGTTTGACAATATAAAATGGAAAAAAAAATCAAGAAATAGTAGAGTAAGTAAGTATACAATCTAGAAGCACCAGAACAAATAACTATAGGACCTTAGGGAGCTATTCTTTTTCCTTGTAAGCCTTAACTTTGTAAATTATGTATACATGTTACGTTGATAAAAATAAAAATCCAATTAAAAACAATCAGCCGATAAATGATTGAATAAGTAAATAAATAAACAAGGGAGAATTCCTTTTGTAATCCTTACAAAAGAGTTCCAAATAATACATGTAGAGACTCTCCCCTCGGGAGGTGGAACTTAATTCTTGCCCACTCCCCACCCCCTGCCCCCGAGGGTAGGCTAGACTTCGTGACTCACTTCCAAAGAACAGGGAAAGAGAAAATAGTAACTGTGCACTGGAGAAGCCTGGCAAACACTATCTTAACCAAATGATGAAGGGTAAACGGCATGAAGTGTGGCTAGTGTGTACTGTCTGAGCATTCCAAAAACCTAAAATGTGGCCTCATGATGAGAAAAGCATCAGACAAACCCAGAGGGGACACTCTACAGGATACCTGGCCACTGTTCCTCAAGACTGTCCATGTCACGAGAAATAAGGAAAGACAGAGTGGGAGCAGAGGACATGGGGGAGATGTGGCAATTAAGTGTAATGTGGTACCTGGGACTGGATCCTGGGAGAAAAAGAAGACAATACAGGGAAAACTGGTGAAATCCACATCAAATCTGGAGTTTACTTAGTCATAACGTACCAGGGTCAGTTTCTTGGTTTTGACAAACATACCACGGTAATATAAGATGTTAAAACTGTGGGAAACTGGGTGGGGGACATATGAGAACTCTCTGTACTATCTAAAATTATTCCAAAATTTAAAAGCTTATTTTAAAAAGCAACGTACTACTGTTATATGCAACAACATGAGTGAGCCTCAAAAATATCTTGCTGAGTCAAAGAAGGCTTCAGGAAATGTACATTAAGATTTGTGTTTTTCCATTAATAAAGGAAACTGAAGATGATGCAAAGAAATGGAAAGATATCCCATGTTCTTGGATTGGAAGAATTAATATTGTTAAAATGGCCATACTACCCAAAGCAATCTACAGATTTAATGTGATCCCTATCAAATTACCCATAACACATTTCACAGAACTAGAACAAATAATACTAAAATTTATATGGAACCATAAAAGACCCAGAATTGCCAAAGCAATCCTGAGGGAAAAGAACAAAGCAGGGAGCATAACTCTCTCAGACTTCAGATAACACTACAAAGCTACAGTAACCAAAATGGCATGCTATTGGCACAAAAAAAGACATATGAATCAATGGAACAGACTAGAGAGCCCAGAAATAAATCCACATACCTATGGTCAATTAATCTTTGACAAACTAGACAAGTATATACAATGGGAAAAAGACAGTCTCTTCAGCAAGGGGTGTTGGGAAAGTTGGACAGCTGCATGAAATCAAAGTTAGAACATACCTCACAGCACACACAAAAATAAACTCAAAATAGCTTAAAGACTTAAACATAAGACATGACACCATAAAACTCCTAAAAGAGAACATAGGCAAAACATTCTCTGATATAAATTGTACCAATGTTTTCTTAGGTCAGTCTCCCAAGGCAATACAAATAAAAGCAAAAATAAACAAAGGGACCTAATCAAACTTACAAGCTTTTGCACAGCAAAAGAAACCATAAACAAAATGAAAAGACAAGCTACAGAATGGGAGAAAATATTTGCAAATGATGTGACCGACAAGGGCTTAATTTCCAAAATATACAAACAGCTCATAAGACTCAACAACAAAAAAACAAACAACCCAATTGAAAAATGGGCAGAAGAACTAAATAGACATTTCTCCAAAGAAGACACACACATAGCTAACAGGCACATGAAAAGATGCTCAACATCACTAATTATTAGAGAAATGCAAATCAAAAATACATGAGGTATCACCTCACACTGGTCAGATTGGCCATCATTAAAAAGTCTACAGAGAAGAAAAAGAAATAAAAGGAATCCAAATCAGAAAAGAATAAGTAAAACTGTCACTGTTTGCAGATGACATGATACTATACATAGAGAATCCTAAAGATGCTACCAGAAAACAACTAGAGTTAATCAATGAATTTGGTAAAGTAGCAGAATACAAAATTAATGCACAGAAATATCTTGCATTCCTATACACTAACGACGAAAAAGCTGAAAGAGAAATTAAGGAAACACTCCCATTTGCCATTGCAAAAAAGAAGAATAAAATACCTAGGAATAAACCTTCCTAAGGAAGCAAAAGAGCTGTGTGCAGAAAACTATAAGACACTGGTGAAAGAAGTTAAAGATGATACCAATAGATGGAGAGATATACCG